TGGATTGCATTCTAAGGTCTCCGATCTCTAATATGAGACGAATGACCCAATGCGGTTGGGGTGAGGGTTTGGATATCGGATATATGTCTAGACGGCATTCTCAATGTCATCACTTTGCTATTGTATTTTGGTCGGTCAATATTGACTATGCTTTGAAGAAGTTGTATGCCTCAAGTTACGTGTGGACACCACACGATGTTATTCAAAATATTCTTCCTTTTTTGCTTAATCTAAAGTCAAGTTGTGACATAAAAGCACCTCTAAAGGATTGTGGATAACGCAAGTCCTCATCTTTACCACTTCTCCACTATATTGTATTTTCCTCTTCTTTTTTCTCGGTCAAGGACACAATAAAACCTTGATTGATTGCACAAATTTTCTATGGAAGTAGGAAATTAAATTCTATTTTTGACCTTTTTGCATGTTTGATTGGCCAAATTTTTTTGGCAATTGGTTTTTTTGTCAATACCTCATTTTCCATCATTTTGAGGAATTGGTTTTCCCATGAGTTTGGTGGTTTTTGGTTTTTCAGTTTTTTTTTTTTTTTAAACAAATTTTATCTCAAATTGTAATAAATTTTATTTTTTTAATTGACAATTTTCTTGGAAAACAAAGCGAAACGAATACCAAAAGATTCAAAATTTCAATATTTTGTAGGTGGAAAATTATACCAATCAAACACATTTAATTGACAATTTTTAGTAAAACAAGTTCTAGGCAATTCGATTTTTTAGAATTCGTTTTCTTTATGCTCAAATTTTATTCGTATAATCAAACGGAACTTAATATTAAAGTAATCGATTCCAAATGATCAATTTATTGAGAATAAGGCACAATTTGTTGTTACTTTAAAAGGGCTTGAGGCATTATTGGAGGTTTACTAGGTTACTTTTTCTTTGTTCCTAGTGTAATGGCACATCCTTTTTCCTTCAATCCTAACTTTTTCGGATTCCATCCTTGAGGAAAAAACAAATTATGCATTGAAAAATCCATCCTGTATATATCTCCATATTGATTCTCATTCGATAAATACATAAATAAATTCTTGTATGGTGACATCCCATCGTGCCATCTTAATGTAGTGCGAAAGCGATCTCTATACGTGTTATTTATTGAAGACGTGATTTAAATAAATAATTTTGTTCTCCTTTGTGATTCAACACAATATTATGAACATGTAGATGTTCCTAGCTCAAGGTCATGTCACTTGTTATTAAAATTGAATTATTTGAATAAGTTTTCACATGGTAGTTTTCATTGAAGATATTAACTTCATCTTAGCTTTAATATATTAAATTTTTAAACGAGTTTGTTCAACATTATCAACTCGCCTTTTTAAATCCTTACCTTGCTAGCACAATCTCTCCACTCTCACCACAATACCCACATCAACCACGATGACCGCCCCCTCCACTACCACCATCACTGCCAGTAATCCGGATACCAACCCAGGCTTCCACCAGACATCGGAATTCTATCAAGAAAAAGTTACAGCCTTGCCTCCAACCCATGACGACCTCGAGTTCTGGCAATTCATGGTTGCAGGCTCCATTGCTGGCTGTGTAGAACACATGGCCATGTTTCCAGTGGACACCCTAAAAACTCGAATGCAAGCCATTACTTCTTCATTCAAAACGCCAGCAATAACTCTGCGTCAGTCCCTCGGCTCGATCATGAAACTTGAAGGCCTCGGGGGCCTTTACCGAGGCATTGCTGCAATGGGATTAGGGGCCGGACCTGCTCATGCAGTGTACTTTTCAGTTTATGAAACTTGCAAGAAATTTCTAACAGCAGGAAATCCAAATAATTCAATGGCACATGCTGCTTCTGGTGTTTTTGCTACTGTAGCCAGTGATGCTGTGTTAACGCCGATGGATGTGGTGAAACAAAGGCTACAATTAAAGGGCAGTCCCTATAAAGGGGTGGCGGATTGTGTGAAGAGGGTCGCGGCGGAAGAGGGGATCGGAGCTTTTTACGTTAGTTATAGGACTACTGTGGTTATGAATGCGCCCTTTACTGCAGTTCATTTCGCCACCTACGAGGCCACGAAGAGGGCTCTGATGGAGGTATCACCGGATTGTCGTGGTGATGGCAATGAGGACGAAACTTTGCTGGTGCACGCAACTGCTGGTGCCGCTGCTGGAGCGCTGGCTGCTGCCGTAACTACCCCACTGGATGTCGTCAAAACTCAGTTGCAATGCCAGGTAACGGAGAACGTAACTTAGCTTCTTTTATCTTCATTAATCCTATCCAATATAGTTTAGCTCGGACCAAATATTCTCAACACACCCCTCAAGCGCATCACGAATTTCTCACTTCATTAATCTTGTTGAGTTCAATATGCCAAACATGTGCGTCTACATAGTACTAGCTACGCTAGTAAGTTCTAGATTTTTCCGTCTAATGCATGTTATATGCTCGACTACGCGTGGAATATGGATTAACCGATTTTCTACAGGGCGTTTGTGGCATAGATCGATTTTCGAGTAGTTCAATCAGTGATGTTATTCGAACAATCTTGAAAAAAGATGGATATGGTGGGCTTACAAGGGGTTGGATTCCCAGAATGCTATTTCATGCCCCTGCTGCTGCAATCTGCTGGTCAACATATGAATCAGCCAAAGGCTTTTTCCAAGAAATCAACGGCAGAAATAGTTCCATGAACTGATCAAGATATTGAACTTTTGGACAAAACACAATCTGGTTGAGCAGGAAAAAATTGCTGCTTCTATAACTGTAGTATTTGAATAATCTAAAGGCTTTTTGCTCTATTCATACACTGTACAGGTGCTGTTATACGAGGGGAAAGGCAAAATTTGTATGTATGAATAAATATAACACTATATTTATCTATAAAAATAACGTGTTAATTCAACTGTTTGACCGAGTCTATTTATAAGAGAAACGTGAATCCTATAATGAAATTTGTTAAGATAACACATTATAAAGCATGTTTAGTATGCTATATTGAACATGAATATATAACATAATCGAAATTTTTTAATTTCTTTTTCTTCGTTAATATTGTTGAGTGCATTATATGTAGCTCTAGCGCTCTATTCGAGGAATTAAGAGATATATTTAAATTTTAGAACTTTTCACAACTAGCACCAGTGGTCTAGTGGTAGAATAGTACCCTGCCACGGTACAGACCCGGGTTCGATTCCGGGCTGGTGCATATTCCTTTTTTTAACCTTTTACCATTTAAAGTTTTTCATGTGTTATTATGTACTTGGCTCACTAAGTTACTAATTTTGCAAGCTTTAAGTATTACATTTTGCACTTGGCGTTCACGAACAATTGCCAATCATGTATTTCGATTCCACAAGTCTGAATTGTAGCGAGCAAAAGGGTTCAAGAGCCCCCAATGCTGCATATGAATGACTAATAAAAGATAACAGCAATTCAACAATTTTAGGACTTGTCCACGACGACTCCATCTCTAAGAACTTCTTAAGCANTGAATGACTAATAAAAGATAACAGCAATTCAACAATTTTAGGACTTGTCCACGACGACTCCATCTCTAAGAACTTCTTAAGCAGCTCTGCTTCTGGTTTTCTTCATACCAGCAGAGAAATGAAGCTTCGAAATTTCAGATGAAATAGTGCTCACTTTTATCCAAATCATCACCTTAGTCTTCATTTCCTCTATATCGACCAGCTTACCTTTCTCGAGATATCTTGTTACAACGCTCGTGAAAAGCAAGACGGATTAATCCTTGTAATAAACTTCACAGACTGATGGGATATAAACAGTTAGCTTTCCTGTATCCTCATTGAACTCATAGTTGGTGCATCACGAGGGAATATAACTACTGCCATGTCATAGTCCTTGAGCAATTCCTCCAATGGCTTTTGCATTTTTCCTGAAAAAGACACGAACACGATGAACTTCAACAGAAAATCTTTCAAACAAGGCTACAAACTGGTGATATGATACAACATAGGCAAATCCATTGAGTTAATTAAAGATGGGAAAAAAAAAAAAATTTATGGTATAATATCAGCATGTTTTGAAAACACCATACTTCAAGTGACAATGAAACTTCTTCATTTTCTAAAAGTACAGCAGTTTAGCACTCCAATTTTCTTTTCCATAGGCAACCTAAGAATTATGAAAGTAAAATGCCAAATGTAGTGAAAAGACAAAAAACAAACCTTTTATCTTGTTAACCAACCATTTGGTTCCTCCTTCGATACTGGTTGTTGCGTATTGTCATACTTGGCCAACTTACCTGGGTCAATGGTCCACTCAGGCCGAACCACGTGGCACTCTAGCCGAGGTGGCAAAGATTGCCGAGGTGGCCCACTCAGGCCGAACCACGTGGCACTCCAGCTGAGGTGACATATATTGTCGAGGTGGGCTATGGCCGAAGCCCATCAAGCCAAAGTCCACTAGTCGAGGCGCCTTTTACTGAGGCCTGTGAATGTAACCAAGGTCCACATGCTGAGGCCTATGAGCCGAAGCCATGGTGCTGAAACTGGTTGAAGATGGCTGAAGCCCTGAAGTGGAAGTATTGTTTGAAATGGCCGAAGCCCCGAAACTGATGCAGGAGCCTCCGAACCACAAGGGAACATCCTTCATGGTCACTTCTCCCAAGAGATCATCTGCACAAAGATCCTATTCGAATGATTGATGGAACGTTTGTCATAAACATAAATGTCAAGTCTTGTCACTAGCATAGAGGCTCTGCACAAGCAATAAATGCGCAGCAAGCTAGCAAGTCAAGCCCCATGCCTAGGATAAGATGTTTCAATCAAAGAGATGAGGCCACGTGCCACCTCATCCAAGGGCTCCCATTTCACATGTATCACTATAAATACTTCCCTTGTGTAACATCAAAAGGTTAATGCAAGAATCAATACAAAGAACTACACTTTACTCAACTCTCTCTCATTTACTTGAAATACACAAATCGAGTTTATACACATTTACATATACATTTACGAACACCGGTTGGTAATTATTGTACAATTGGATCACGAACCACTCGTCGGATTCCAAACGTCACCGTCCTGCGTCGATGGGCTACTCCCACGCCCTTTGAACCGCTCGTTTTAGACCATTCACGTGTCTTAATGTGTTGAACATTCGCTCACGTGTACGCTGGTGGGACCGGCATCTGTTGGCAACACTTTTTGGGGTCAACAGATTGGCGCCGTCTGTGGGAAACCATACCATAACCACGAGCAACCTTGTGGTAAAAGCTTACTGAAAAAAATATTTAGGCAACCCCCCTTGAAAAAGGGATTTGTTCTTGAAAAAGAACAGGAGGAAGCCCCATTACTTAGCAAAATCTGAAGTCTGACAAAAGAAAATGAGCTTCAATGAAGATACTCCCCCCAGGAGGGTAAGAGAAAACACAAACGTGCCTCTTCAGCCCGCTGCCCTAGCAAGTCGACAGAGACTCCACCACTACCAAAGAAGAGGTGGGATGTGTGCGACGACATGACTATCAAGAGAAATGGCCGCCATGGCAGTCAATATGAGGGATATTGCTAGCTAAAACTTGGCTATGAGGGAGCTTATGGCCCAAATGTAGGGTCAGGGAGGCTTTCCCATTCCTCCATACGCCCCCAAGGGTACTACCAGCAAGAGGATGTAGTTCAAAGTCATAGAGCTGTCTCGCCAGACTATGGCCAAGGTGGAAGCCCATTTGAAATGGAAGTGGAAGTTGATGTTTCTTCCAACTATGCTTTTGGCAGACCCACCGAGGTCTAAATGAGCCATGATAATTTTCCACCTCCGTATGAGCAAGATCCAAGACATAGGAGGGCAGGAAGTGTTTTCGACAGAATTAGCCCCGCCGAACCGAGGCTCAAACAACATCAGGCTCAACAGCCTTGGACAAGGCCACCTCCTCCACCTCCAATGCCCCAGCAGCTGGAGAGAAGGCATGAAAATGCCCCCTGTGTTGCTTCGCCTAGAAATAGGCAGCAGAGGAGGGAGGAAGAGGCTGGGGACCGCCCCGAAACCTCTCACCAACAACCAAGGTATGAGACTGATGAGTACGACTCTGATGAATAGCAGAGGTCTTGCGACTTGGACGATGATGATGAGAATCTACCGTTCTCAAGGGAACTAAGGAATGTCCAAGTCCCGAGCCATTATGTTATGCCAAAAATACCAAAGTATGACGGAAGAGGTGACCCGGAGAAGCACCTAAATGCCTATAAAACTCACATGAGCCTAAGGGGCGCCACCCCAGCCGTGAAGTGTAGAGCTTTCCATTTAACACTTAGTGGAGCGGCTGAAATTTGGTATAGCAGATTGCCACCTGGGAGCATTAGGAGCTGGCCCAAGTTCAAGACAACATTCTTGAAGAGATTCGCGGTGAGCAAAGAAGAAGAGGCCCCCATCCAACATCTCCAAGAATGAGACAAGCACACGGGGAGTCCCTAAAGAGCTTCTTATCATGCTTCACAGATGAGATGACGTGCTGCATACAAGTCACTGACTGAGAGACACTATCCACATTAAGGGGAGGTCTAAACATGAATACCCTGTTCTGGAGGGACGTGCAGAATCAAGACCCCACCACCTATGACGCCCTACTCGAAATGACGAGAAGGGAGATCATCAATGAAGAATTGATTGAGATAGGAACAGGGCAAGTAGAGGCCTCCCACCTCTTCAAAGATAGCGCGGTAGAAGCCCGACCTCCCACCTGATGGGCTACCAAATGAACTAGGCCGAAAATGAGAACTCTGGCCAGGCACTTGCCACCACCACTTTGAATGCGGTTCCCACCTTGGCATATGAAGATGTCAACCCGATTACTGACCCCTATCAGATGGAGGCCCAGCAGGGACCCCGTCGAGGGAGAGGCCGAGGCCGAAGTTTAGGACCTAGAAATAGATCAAATTCGAACCCCCCAGGATACTGTATGCACCACAGGTCCTACGAGCATGACACATCGAATTGCAGAGACTATGCACACTGCTCCCGACAGGAACCCGCTAGAGACAGACATGATTCGCCCCAGGCGAATAGGCCCCCGCCCAGGCACGACAACCGACGTGAGTGTGAGGAGGCCGCTCCCCGTCAAAGGGATGTATCCCCATGATGAAGGGAGCATGATGCAGAGAGGCCCAGGGAAGGACGTAGGCACCGAAGAAATCAACAAGCTCAAGATGAGGCTCGTATCCACGAGGTGGATACTATATTTGGAGGCCCGTATGTTGGCGGTGAACACGAAACGTCAAAAGGAATTACGCTCGGGAGGCTAAACACCCCCCTTTGACAAGCTACATTGTGGGTAGTAGCTCCCGAAGAAACCAGGTTCCACCCATTGTCTTCACCCAGGAAGACGTCGAAGGAGTTCATTACCCCCACTGCGATACACTTGTGGTGAGGGCTGTCATAGCCCGGAATAGGCTCAAACGAATGTTAGTTGACAATGGCAGCTCCGTCAACATTCTATTCGGATCCGTCTTTGACAAGATGATATTGGATCATCAGTTGACGCCCACCACCACTCCATTGTACAGATTTACTGGAGATAGCATCACTCCGATGGGAAAGATAACACTTGCAGTAGAGATGGGAGAATCCCCACAAGCAACGATGAACTTCATGGAGTTCCTCATTGTTGACAGCCGGTCGACTTACCATGGAGTGTTGGGCAGACCAGCCCTAAAGGAATTGAGAGCAATCACCTCCATCCACCTCCTATGCATGAAATTCCCGACAGAAAATGGGGTGGCAACGATGAGAGGGGACCAAAGAGGCTCGAGAGAGTGCTATCTAAGCTCCATTAAGAAGGTAGAGCC